CTCTCTCTCTCTCTCTCTCTCTCTCTCTCTCGTGCGCGTGCGCGTGCAATGTATGTTTCCATGTTCTAGAGGTAGATTCATTCGATTTTGCTCATCTTATCGATGGAAGTACCATGAGGTCAGCTGTGAGATTGGAGACTTACCTGTACTCTCTCTCTCTCTCTCTCTCTCTCTCTCTCGTGCGCGTGCGCGTGCAGTATGTTTCCATGTTCTAGAGGTAGATTCATTCGATTTTGCTCATCTTATCGATGGAAGTACCATGAGGTCAGCCGTGAGATTGGAGACTTACTTGTACTCTCTCTCTCTCTCTCTCTCTCTCTCTCTCTCTCTCTCTCTCTCTCTCTCTCTCTCTCTCTCTCTCTCTTGTGCGTGTGCACGATGACATTTGCATCTGACAGCACCTTAGTCCATACTCACACCGGGATTTCTTTTCAATGTATCTGTCCATCGCGGTGTATCTTCCTATGTTCTTGTGGAAGATTCCTTCTCACAAGAGAAGGGGCAATGCGCAATCCGCTCTCGCCTGATGTTTGGACGAACACTCCTCTTGCCCCTTCTCACACTCTCAAACAGCACACCTTCTCTCTCCGTTTCCTCTCTTTTCGCTGTCTGCGCACGCGTCTCGATACTGGACATAGATAGTTCAGATAAAAGAAACAAACAGAAAACCACTCAGAGAAGAAGGTAGAACTTCTGGCCGGAGTGGCGAATCATTTGGACTCAGAGTGTGGCACATAGCAGAAGAATAAATAAAAATAAATAAATAAATGAAACAGCAGAGAGGTCTGATTTATAGAACGGGCCCGATCAGATCAGCTGGAGATCCCCTCTTGTCTAACTTGACAGAGGACATGTCATCACAATAAATCAGACGAAGAAGACTAATCTGCAGCAATGGAGATTTCGAGGGTTGCAGATGGTCGCCGAGTCAGACGCGGGGCAGTATGTGCTCACATGCGGTAAGGCCAGTCAAGATCCCCTTGAAAGGAATGCCCTTGCTGTCCATATGCCCCTCAAATCCAGCACAGCAAAGAAATGCACTGGCGGCAACAGATCTGGGCCCAAAAGGTCCTGTCCCGTTGGGCCTGGTCCCATTGGGTCCCGAGTGGTCCCAAGTAGGTCGTGGACCAGGTCTAACGAGACAGGGGTACCAAGTCAGTCCCAAACTGTCTCTACCGTACTGAAAAGGAAAAGACAATTTTCAGCAAGAACTTGCCCCTACAGCCGTTCAGGATTGAAAAGACAATGCACCGTAGAAAGATATGTCATTTAGCACAGATACATCATCCATCCATCCATCAGGTGAGAAAGCAATCCACATGCTCACACACACAACCAAGACCGCAGAGAAGAGGAAGAGAACCCAGCACACCCCCAACAGGCCATGAAGCACCAAGCAACCTCCCACGGGCTTTCCCAGGTCACACGGCACTTACCTGTGAGG